TGTTATCCTTATTCATACAACCTCCATCGTTTTAAATCTTCTGTAAACCGTTTCCTTGCTCTTTAATTCTACCTTTTTTTCTAGTAAATCTCAACGTAATAGTGGTTGCTTGAACACAATTGTGGTGTTTTTACTTAAGAATATCATTTCACCCCGTAGACAAGCTTTTAGAATATCAAGCCCCCCTTGGAAATCTTTTATTTGAATATTATCATATATGTAATCATAACCATAAGCAATGAAAGTATTAGAATATCATATCCCTAAAGATAATCGCATTCGGTAGAATATTGCATATAAATTATACAATTGTGTAATATAAGAATATTGTATACAACATTGAATATTGTATACAATATATTGTTGTCAATATTATACAACCTGTATATTATTGACAACACGACAATATCGCTTCTCAGCCTAATGGCTAAGATCAAGTGTAGTATCTGTTCTTATTTTGGCTCCGGACCATCTCTCACTTGGTTACGGTGTTTTTAAACAGCATAAGATCAAAACCGTGACAGTCAATAGAGGTTCTTGGCGTAGTGGCTTTTTTAGTGTCTCCTTTCACGTCCGGAAATTTTAAGGCGATCCGTCCACTCCGTACGTTAAATAGAAATAAACCCCTTAAGTGGGCGCTGCTCAGTTTTGGCTGAGTGGCAACTAATAAACCTTTAAGTGGGCCATACGCGGAGTTTCTGCTCCCTAATAAAGCCGCCTTCTAGGACCCTGTGTAAGTCTGGTTTCAGTTTCAGGTGTCTCTAGTTGGTCGGTAAAAAATAAAAAATAAAAATAAAAAATATTGTCACACGACACACAAGAAATAATATTTAAAAAGTATGAAGTTTAATCCCGCCCTCTCTTTTAATAGTTCTTAATTATTTTAATTGTAATTATGTACTAAGCGGTTTTTGTTATGTCGATTTTTATGGGTAGTTATTTTATATAAATTTACGTAAAACTTTTTTAAAGATGAAAGAATTCAGGTTAAAAAAAAAATTTTTAGAAAGAAAAAAAGTTTTATTTGGAGCGAGAAAATTAAACAACTCTATTTAGACAATTCTTAAATATGCTGATGTTAACTTTTATCATTATTTCAGTGCCGACCGAAAAGGGTCCATTTTGACACCTAAAATCTTATAAACTTTATACTGTTGGATAGAAAATTTTATGTTGTTCGTGGCGATTAAAAGACAGTGAACTATTTATACTTTCCAAATTGCACAGTAAGAGCTTAGGAATGTTTATCCACTATATACTCTACTAAATCTTTTTAAACAATGTAGTTTACAACAGCTGCTGTAAAGATAATTACAAGCAAAATCAGGATTTCAATAAATCTTTATATACATCACTAGAAGACATATATGTGATATTAAATACTGAATAAAAAAAAAGTTCAAAGTTATTTCTTAGGCATTTTATTTTTTCTTTGAGAAATGGATGACTTAGCGACGAACCGACCTTTACAACAATTATATTGAAATGAGATAACAGAACTCAAAGTTTAAATTTAATTGTTAAACGTTTTTTATTTTTGAAACAGTTTTTTAATTTCTATTTTTTTTACTGAATAGATAAATATTAAAATGTTTATACAATTAATTAAAAAAAAGCAATTATTTATTTATTTAGAAGATAACAGGTAAAATTAAAATTAAAACAATGGTAGTTTCTTGCTTTTTAGAAAAATACTAATTTTTATTCTATATGAGACATAGGCACAAATGATGACATTTTTTAAACTGAATTAACTTTTAGAGTTTCCAAGACCAACTTATCGTCCATAAATTTTTCAAAATAAAAATATTTTTTTTAAGCCTTTTTTTAAAAGACTTGAGCAAATGGGCCAAAGGGTCATGTCACCCTCTTAATTTTTTGGTGACTTTTTTTGTTTGTTTAAATAGAGTAGTTTTAAGTATTAATTCTTTTGGTAGTCTTTGGTATGTTTAATTGGTCCTTTGCCTCCCCTTCCCTATTAAAATGTCACTTACATATATTACCAAAGGAAAAACTTGTGGTAATTGCTTTTTATTTCATGGTAATAACGTTTATGAAAATGTGGAAATTTATTTCACCTTCAAGAAAAAACAAACCAAAAGTACCAAAAACATTTTCTTTTAAATTGAATGCACTTCAAAGGCGGATTTTGCACCTCACAATTTATTAATATTTCATGACACTTTTAAACAACCTCTCTAATTTATTTACGTTTATAAGAAACGTACTGTGTTAAATATATAGATTTACAAAAAAAAATATTAAAAAAGTTCTCATAAATCTAATAGTTCTCATAAATCTAAGGGGAGGAGGGCAATAGTCCCCACGCTCCCAGCTCCCTATGGATTCGCCCTTGATGCACTTAAAATCTAGGTAACTCACTTTTTGCAGTTTTTATAGTGTTTATCCAAGATTTTGATACAAAAAAGGTCATCTTTAATTCATCATAGCCTCTGGGTAATAAAGTGACGCTAGTCTTCGCATCCTGATATTTTTGCTCTTATAAATATCTTATAAAGATATTTTTGCTCTTATAAATATCTTATAAAGATATTTTTGCGTAGCAAAACTATTTTTTTGATTATACTCTTATACAGTTCTAGATTAAAAGTTTTTAATATTGAAAATTATTTTTGTTGGCACCCTACTATAAATAACCAGTTTTATAAATATTCGTTCCGAATTTTATCCTCAACTAGTGAATCTAGTCTAATTTTAAAAGAAAGTACAGTTGAGTAGAAAGTTATTTGCTCGGGTAGTTTGTTTCAGTATTTTGCTGATCTGTTATATAGTTGGTTGTGTCTTGGAAGACATTCACGCCTTTTTTCAAGATGGTGACCACGTGACTAGGAGTTTTTTTCTTTTTTCTTTTCTTTCTCTGTTTACAGAACATAAGAATTTTACAAATTCCACTACATAATATAAAAATTTAACAAAAAAAGTAAAACAGATAGGGGCTCAAAGAAGATGAGGATGATAGAACGTTATCGCAATCTTTTCATAGAACCCCTTTAACAAGATTTAATTAAAATATCGTAATATGACATACAAAATAAAAATTTCAATAAAATATTATAACAAAATGCGTAATCCGCTAATAAAATTTGTCAAACAATAAACAAAAGTAGAAACAAAACAAAAACGTATTTAAGAGAATTTATCCAATGCATTATTAACAAAAAATGTTTCACAGGTTTTAAAGATTTCTTATTTTGTTAAAAACTTGAATGAACTTAACGAACTCACCGTACCTTTAAACCCTTTTTGAAAAATATTCCATACTTTTGGACCTCGATATAAAATACTGTATTTTGAATATTTATTTATTATCCTAGGCAGTTTATATGTTCAACATATTCGCTCTAAGGTTATAGTTATCATTTTTATATAACTCAAACTTATTTAACTTATTAACTTAGAGTTAACAAATTTTGGTAGATTTGTATTATTAATTATATCAAATCGATGTATTAGTTTAAAAATTTAGATAAGATCGCATCGAAGGCGTCGAAATTCGAGATTTAGTCTTTTTAGTCTTTCATAATATTGAAGATTTTTCAAGCTTAAAGCTCTTTTTGTTGCTTTATATTGAATAGATTCAACCAAAGCTACGCCAGTTTTTAAATACGGAACCCAAATAGACACTGCATATTCAAGGTGTGGTCTTATAAATACTTTATATAATTCGAGAGCCATTTTTTCATTAATGATGGTGAATGTCTTTTTTAGCATACCAAGAATTTGTAAAGATTTGGAGACTGATTGAATATGTGTGTTCCACTTGGGGTTAGATGTAAAAACGACATTTATACTTTGGTTATTTTGCAAAAAGTAGCTATACATAGGATTGGTTTTACCATAATGGATAACACAGCATTATGAAATGTTTAATTTAAGTAACCAAGTGTTTGACTACTCATAACCTAAGTGTAGACGATCCTGCAGATCAACGAAATTAGTCTGCGATAAAGTTTAAGAAAAAAGAAATTAATCCATTATAGAAGTTTGCCGTTTATTTCGAATGATTTTAATTTTAACATAAGCCTGTTGTGAGGTACGGAATAAAAACCTTTAGCAAAGTCGAGGTAGATTACATCTATAAACTGGTGCGATGCTAGGGAAGGCAAAATAACATCAAAAGTCTCTATTAGATTGGCTACAAAAGATTTATAATAAAGGAAGCCATGTTGATTTTTATAGAGCAGATTGTTATCGTTGATGTGCTTCAAGATTTGATTCTTACAACTTTTTCAAAGATTTTGCACCTAACCGAGATTAGTGAAATAGGTCGATTGTTTTCAGGAAGTAGTTTGTCTCCCTTTTTATTTGATCATTGGAATTTAGTTTCAACAACAACAAACATTTGAGAAAAAAATATATATAAAAAATAAAGTTAAAAACTAAAATACGCATGCATTTTTGATATTTATTCTTAAATGATCGAAATTACTTGGTGACCGAACTTTGGCGATTTTATGGTAATGATAAAACAAGTTGGAACAAAGTTTATTTTGACAAGTTTATTAAAACCGAGTTGCGTAAATAAGAAAAGATTTTCTAATAGATCGCGATTTCTAAATGTAATTAAAGTTTTGAAAATTTACGAATATTAGCGTTTAATAGTGTAATTTTTTAAACTTCAACAGTTAGAGCACTTCCTTGATTTTCAGACCTTTGTTTTTGTACGATTCTTAATCATAATAAAACTTTCTACCATAATAATTACATAAAGAGAGATTGGGTGGAGGAGGGTGCAGTAGAACCCTTAACATATATTACCGTGTTAGAGTATATTTATTTATAAACAGTTTAATTACATTACGTAATTAAACTGTTTATAAATAAATATACTCTTAACATAGTATGCACAACACGATAATATATGTTAAGGGCTCTACTAATTAATTAAATGAATTAAATAATAATCCAAAATATTATTGTACCAAAACAATATAAAAACAAGATATGTAATACATATCTTGTTTTTATATTGTTTATGTACAAGAATATTTTGGACGTATTAAAATACACTTAAATACAACAAAGTGCAACTAAAAAACGCATTCTCTTTTTTTTTCCTAAGGTTGATGTGATATTTCCAGGTAATTGTGATATTCTATCAAATCATTTCCTTGATCAGAATTTTGTATGAGTGACACCTCCTTTAACATTATTAAGTTTTTATATTCATTATAAATAAATTGTTAAAGTTAATTATATTGATACAACTATAATTATTATTATTGATTTCTTCTCTTTCTTTTCATTTTCTTCTCTTTTTTTTTCTCTTCTTTTTCCTAATCTTCCTCTTATATTTATTATTATTACTGTTGTTGTTGTTGTTGCTGTTGTTGTTGTTGTTGTTGTTATATTATTAATAAAAATAAATTTTATTGTTGTTGTTTTTAATACATATATAAATATATGTAAAGAATTTTCAGATGGCTACACAATGCAATAACTTAGCAGCAGAAAATCGAATGAATCCTATTATACGTGTTGTTTTACAAGGAGTATACGATGTTGAGAGCCCATTATCATTACTACGTGGCATGCCACATATTCTTCTTTTTATATGGAACAATATTAAAGCATTCTGGAAAGAACATATAAAAATTGGAATAAATAAGAATTCCTTTATTATTGAAGATTATACAATTGGAATTGATTCATTACCATATTCACTTATACAAGATAGTTTGAAATTTCCTTCACCAACTAACTTAAATATTAATATGATGCCATTTGTGATGAGTTCCAGTTTCCATAAATGTAAATTACCTAAAAATACAAAGCGCTATTGGGATATTATTAAATTATGTATTGATGAGCAATCTAGGAATTCTAAAGATGAAATAGGAAAAATATGGTTTTTGACAATTCAAGAGAGTATGGTTGATCAAGGTACTTCCCAACGAAGACCAGGGCTTCACACTGAAAGCCCTGGATTTGTTTATATTAAAAATGGCAGTCTATCAATTAGTAAAGACATTTTTGAAAATAAAAAGGCATTTAATAAAAAAGTTCAAATTGGAGGAGGTCATTCTGAAATTTCTCCTTTATTTGTTCAATGGGGTTACGGAATGAGTAATACAGATGTTTTTTCAGGTGGTATATATATGGCTTCAAACATTGCTGATTCTTGCAAAGTTTGGAATTGTCAAATACTTCCAGGTGAAGATGGAAAATGTGTAATAGGTGAATTAGGAGATATAGAACATTTAAGAGAGTTTTTGCCTGAAGCTGAAGTCATGAAAAAAAATGCATTGTATTGGTTAACTGATCGTACTCCTCATGAATCATTGGCGTTGTCTAATAAAACTCATAGGCAATACATTCGTATAGTCACAAGTAAGGTGTCCATATGGTATGAAGACCATTCTACAAAAAATCCACTTGGAGTTGTTCCAGACAGTCAAATTACTGAAATTGTGCGAGGTTCAAAATTTGACAAAATACCTTTATGTTTAAGTACATAATTTTTGTTAAATAGCCATTTTTATTCAGAATTTCTACAATACTTTTTATTTCGAATTTTTTTATACTTTTTAAATGTATACAAACATACTCTACATACATACATACATACATACATACATACATACATACATACATACATACATACATACATACATACATACATACATACATACATACATACATACATACATACACACATACATACATACATACATACATACATACATACATACATACATACATACATACATACACACATACATACATACATACATACATACATACATACATACATACATACATACATACATACATACATACATACATACATACATACATACATACATACATACATACATACATACATACATACATACATACATACATATATACATACATACATACATACATACAGACTCAGTGATTTTTTATTTTTTTTTATTGTAAATGGTTATTTACTTTTTAGTATATGTTTGACTTTGTTTGTATTGAACTATTTTAAATAATTATTCAGAGGATTATTGTTATTTATTGGTTGTGTTTGTATTAATTGCAAAAAGATAATTTGGTTTAAAAAAGATCCAACCACTTTATATTTTTAGAGATATTACAGGGTTATGCAGAAATATAAATTAAATTATGCAAAAGTATAAATTAGTTTAATGCATCAATAAAAGTTAAGTTATGCGGAAATATAAATTAAAATATGCGGAAATATAAATTAAAATTAGAAAATCAAAAATAAAAAATCAAAAACATCATTTTGAGGAAAAATTATCCAAAGATTTGTTTACATATCCTTCATACTTTACGCAAGAAGCTGGTTATAGGTCAAAGATAAAATTAACTGACTAACTATTCATGTTTTTAACATGACTTAGATTTTTATTGAAATTTTACTTCATTTTATTGAAATTTTATTTCCTTGTTATTTAAGACACTAAAATCTACTGTGTCAAGATCTTATTATATGGTCAAATTTGATATGGCTTAAACTTGATGCAATACTATTTAGACCTAATTTAAATCACCTAAAACTTAACATGCCGTAATGTTTCACAGAGACTTATCCTAAAACAAAAGTTATTATTGACTATATTGAGTTGGTTTGTCAAAGACCTTCAAAAATTACAGTTCAAAGTAGTTTGTTTTCCCACTATGAGCATCATTTTATCTTTAAAGGATCAGTTGGAGTTGTTTTTTCTGGTGCAATAATGTTTTGTTAGTGAACTACTTGTTGATTCTATTTCTGATATTGAAATAGGGGGCCATCCATATATTACAATCGCAAAATTCTCAAAATTTAAAACCCCACCCATACCCCCTGTTGCACTTCGTACATTTTTATACACCCTCTTCTTATGCGCGCGTACGCTTGGTGGTCTCACCCCTCCTCCTCCACTGTGGTCTTTACCCTTCCTCCCCTTTCCCTCATATAAGTTTCACAGCAGCTTTACGAATTCATGTAGAATGTGCCATACTTTATGGATCCTCTTATAAAACAGTAAAAATTTATAAAATGTACTATTTATTATTGAGATGAAATATATTTTTTATAAAAATACTCTAACTCATCTACAACATCTAAGAATTAAAATTTATCAAAATTAACGTTTACAATAATAATTCTCTTATAAATGTCAACTATAAACAAGAATTGTGTCAGTCAAGATGAATCCATTGCTATTGGGACTTATGTATAATAGCTCAATGAGTGATTCTTCTTAGGAGATAATTCCCCGGTAAATTATATATATATATATATATATATATATATATATATATATATATATATATATATATATATATATATATATATATATATATATATATATATATATATATATATATATATACATATATATATATATATATATATATATACATAAAATCCCACGACCTAGAAGATTCCTAAAGAAAAAGGATGTTTAACTGTATGGTATAAAAAAATTTTTTAACTGTATGGTTTCTTTTTGTTTATTTTATTCTTGCTTAAAATATTAATGAGTAACATTATTTTAAGAGAAGATATATTTTTTATAATATTCTATTACCTGAACTAAAATGAAATAAAAGTTATCTAATAGTTTTCATGAAGAAATAAAGCTAATACATAATCACGATCATCATAGACATTTTTATTTTTGTTAAAGAGCCCAGCAAACACTTCTGACGTCAAAGACGTCCTCTTAGCACGTTCTAAAGACGTCGTAAAAAGACTTAAAACTTTCCGTTTAAGTGAAGTTATACAAAATTGGTCAAGAAAATACATCTTTTAAACGTTCAAAAGACGTTCTGGGAGTCTTTTTAATGTTCAAAAGACATTTTGCAATGAGGGTATTTTAGCAATCACAAAATTTGTAGGGTTTTGGGGAGAAAAATTGCTCATTCAGAAAACAGAACAGAAACGGCAACCAGTGTGCCTTAATAACTAAAATAAATAAAACACAAAATTAAAAGTATATACAAGATAAAAACATATTTCAAATTACAAATTTAAAAAATATCATAAAAACTGTTGTCGTAGTTTAGTTTTTCACGGTCACAGATGTCTTTTCTATCTGGCGCTCTTTTCAGGATCTCCAACGCTATTTTCTAGTTCATTCATGGCATACTTGAGCATGGTCTCTGCAAAATGATTTATAGAACATAAAATAAAGATTATAATAAAGATTCAATCAAGTTTATACAAATGCAAAGGCTAACTGAACTATTATTATTAATATATAAAAAGTAATTATTTTAACAAAAAAAGAAAATTTATTATTATGCATTATAAGATAGTTTGATCTTAACCATGAAACCAATTATTCAATTAATTTTTTAGTCAAATTTTTAAAATTAACGATTATTTAATTGTAAACTTTTGTAAACTGTTAAAAACTCAGTTTAGGTTTTTTTTATTGAGTATAAAATAACAAGTTAATTAATAATGGGTTGTGCTGCACCGTTGAGTCCAGATGAGGAAAAAGTGCTCTCTAACTTATCGAAAATGGGTCACTTCGTTAGTTACATGGCTAGAACTATTGGACGCAGCCGAGCTGTGATTAAAAACTACGTTAATAGTACGGAATAAAAAAAACTTCAGCGAAAATTACCTTTGATAACAAATCACATAAACAATCGAATAACTTTTGCAAATGACCACGTAACATAGATAGAAGAGTGGAAACAAATAGTATTTTCTGAAGATTTTGTCTAGATGGGCCGGATAGATGGAATTATCATTTTCACGATTTGCGTAAAGAGCCAGTAACACAATAACGACATCAAATGGGTGGTGGTGATATAATGATTTAGTGTGCGATTGGGTATCATAATAAATCAAATTCGTTTTATTGACAAAAAAATGAAAGCTATGGATATCTTTTAACTGTTCAAGAACTTTTAAGACGTGAAGCATTGGTCATAGGTGGTAAAAATTTTGTTTTTCAGCAAGTTAATGCTAGCGTTCATAAAGCTAAGATAATGAAGGAATGTTTCAACAGCAGTAAAATTAAAACATTGAAGTGGCCAGCCAGATCTTCAGACCTGAACATTATTGAGAATGATTGGGGACAGCTGTCACATATAGTTTTTGAAGGTGGTAAACAATAGTTCATTAGCTGACTTGAAATCATCCATCGCATCTGCATGGGATACAATTGACATTTCGTAAATAAAAAAGTTGTATGATTCTTTACCTTCTAGATTGATTGAAGTAATTTAAAAATATGGTGAAAGTATCCACTATCGATTTTTTTAAAATTGAGACGTTTTTTTTTTATAAATGACAATTTATATGAATTTTTTCTAAAAGCATCTTATAATTTTGACGCGCTAAAAAAACATTTTTTTTTTTAAATAAAATGCGAATTACGTTTAAAATAATTTTTTTTAAATGTTGTTTAGTCTTGCAATTCTTTTGTTCTTATTTGCTATAAAAATTAGTCTTTAAATATAAATGTATAGTAGAGTTTTATAAATATTTTGGGGTGTCTTATCATTTTGTCGCGCAGTGTAGTTAGCGAGGGCTAGCGTGCATTGTGGAGCTTCCCAATGAACGTGTGCGTGAGTGTCAGCGTAATCATTAGGTTATTGAGCGCCGTAACCATATCCAGCAAGATAGTATAATGTCCGTTTTGTCGTTGTTGTGTACATTGAAAGAAAATAATTTTAATTGTTTATGTGATAAAGTGATTGCATAAAGGTGACCAACGGAGCCGTCCAGTTACGTAGAGCTGGGAGATGTGATAATAGAAACAGATAATAAATTATGTTAAATGGCTGAGAAGCAGCAATGAATAAAAAAAAAGACTATTTAATATAAGAAAAAAACCATAACTCACACCCTAGTTATCCTTAGCAAATAATGGCCGATGAGTTAGTATATCTATCTCGCCTGACTAAAAATATCATACGGTATAAAACAATAAAACAAATAGAAAAAAATGACAAGAAAAATAATATTTAATGATAGAACGGATAATACAAAATGAAGAGCAGAAAATGCGTCGTCTTTACGGTTCAAACTCTGAATCCTTTGTCTATGACGAAGCGCGCTAATCTACACTGTTAAAATATTCGCCGTAGAATCTACGGAGATTGTCCGGCAGCAAAGTGACAGCACTTTCTCCGTAAAAATTAACGGTTTCCGTATTTCATTTTTTACATACAAATTAACGGAAAAAGTCCGTTAATTCAGCAAATAGACATTTACTTAACTCATTTATCAGAGTTAACGCTAAAGTCAAAAATAAATGAATAGAATTATATGTTGTTATAAAAATGTAATTCGACTATTAAGAAACTACTCGTATTATAATATGATACACATCAAGAAATAATAGCTATAATAATTATAAACAAATTATATTATATTACAGTGGTTATTACATATATATTGTATTTTATATACTATATAATATTTATGATAACAAATAATATTTTATTATCATAAATTATACTATATTATAAAAGTTGTTATATATATTACGTTATAATAGTTATAATAAACATAAACAAATCGTCTTTTGATCTACTGATGCTCTGTCCACTCAAGTGCTAGTTTGTTTAGGAAACTCAAAACTTTTGGGTGAGGTCCGACTG